GAACTGTATTCTAAAATCCATACAGTTACACCCCACTGGGTGTGATACAAATTTACTAGTTGACCTACATTAGCAGCTGCACAAAGTAATCAACAGTATAAGGTTTTCTTTAGCACACACACACTTGATCCTGTTACAACTTACTGTAACACTCTCTGCCCTGGAGTGAGGTGGAGGCTCCTTCTTTGGAGGCTTTTAAACGAAGGCTAGATGGCCATCTGTTGGGGGTGCTTTGAATACAATTTTCCTGCTTCTTGGCAGGTGGTTGAACTGGATGGCCCATGAGATCTCTTCCAACTCTATGATTCTATGAAGTATGTAATGGCCATTCTATTAGAGGCCACTTCTAAGTTACTGTTTACTTCCTGGAGTTCTTAGTGAAGAGACAAATGTGTATTTTTGAGTCTTAGGTCATATATGTTTCAGACCCAAAGAAAGGGAACGGTTTAGGTTTTGGATGGAAGCTAGTTCAAAACAACAGGGCTTACATTCTACAAGCTTGGGACCATTTTTTATTAAATCTTCTGTTCCTTAAAGTTAGATGTTGTCCTGCTTTCCAGTAGATATAAATAAACAACATTGGGTTGTTGTAGTTTTTTTCGGGCTATATGGCCATGTTCTAGAGGCATTTTCCTGACGTTTCGCCTGCATCTATGGCAAGCATCCTCAGAGGTAGTGAGGAAGCATCCTCACTACCTCTGAGGATGCTTGCCATAGATTCAGGCGAAACGTCAGGAGAAATGCCTCTAGACCATGGCCATATAGCCCGAAGAAACCTACAACAACCCAGTGATTCCGGCCATGGAAGCCTTCGACAATACATAAACAACATTGTGTGTAGGACTACTACTCATGTTCAAAATGACCTTGATTCTGTCACTACCATGCCAAGATTATGCTAATTTATTTCCCATAATACTGAATTTCTAACCCGTACCTTCATAAGAACATGGTGCTTGTGGTTTCCTTTCTTCTTTAACCTAATTCCTGTCTTGCCCTGTCTGGCAAAACAGTTTCCCTTAATAACTATGTTCTCTTCCCATACAAATGGGATGTGTACCCTTCTCCCAAGCATGCCCAGGTGTCTGATATGCATTAAGGTCTCAACCTTATCATCTATTCATTTGAAGTCTCTGCCTGCCAATGGCATGATGAGATCAAATATCTCTCTGCATTGTTTTCTGGATCATCCCATTTGTAGAGTAATTGCTTTGCAGAAATATGCTGTAGTGTCTTCCATTTGGTAAGTTTTATTTGGTGATAAGTGATAGGTGATGTTATAGAATCATAGAATCAAAGAGTTGGAAGAGACCTCATGGGCCATCCAGTCCAACCCCCTGCCAAG